TCGGGCCAAGCGGCGCGCGCGGCCTGACACATACACACACACACACACACACACACACACACACACACACACACGCGCGCGCACACACACACACAAACGCACACACGCACACATTTGTTGACGGCCGCGACCTCGCGCGCATCGTCGAGGCGGAGAAAGTCACCGAACGGGCGGGCGAGCGCGCGCAGGGAGCCGCTCAGAGCAAACACGCGCACACGCACACACACACACACACACACACACACACACACACACACACACACACACACACACACACACACACACACACACACACACACACACACACACACACACACACACACACACACACACACACACACACACACACACACACACACACACACACACACACACACACACACACACACACACACACACACAACACACACGCACGCACGCACGCACGCACGCACGCACGCACTTTTCGTTTGATCTGCGGGGCGAGAGCAATTCCGCTAAAAGATAGGCGGGCTACGCACAGCTTCAATTAGGGAGACAGGGCACAGGAAGGCGGGGCCTTCGGCGGCCCGAGTGGGCGAATCCCAAGGACGCAGGCGGTGCCAAAGTGGACGTGCAGGAGCAGGAGCGCCGCGGACTGGCACCGGGGGCGACGTCCCAGAGGGTGAGGAGAAGGCGTCGCCGTCGACGGCGCATCGCGAACACCAGCCTCCAGCGCTGCAGAGGGGGACGCGCCACTTGACCAGGTCGACGCCCAGGAAGAAGAGGAGCACCACGAGGGCGACGCGCAACGTTGTGCCACCGGGTGGTGCGGAAGAGGCCCGGGGTGGTAGTCCAATCCACGACCAGGTAGCAGCTTGCTTGAGGAGCGGTCAAATACGAGGGGGCCGTTCATGACCGACAGGATGCCGGTGGACTGCAGGCAGAAAACCTGCCCTGCACCGCCAGCGCGCGAAGACGGGCAGCAACCACACACGATGCGCTGACATCCGCGTTGCCGAGGGCCGGAGCCGCGCAGCGCCATGGCGAGCGGGGCCGCCGAGGCGGCAAGGTGCAGCGCCCGGCACTGGGCCGAAGCCGCCGCAATGGGAGGGGGGGAAGCGAGCGGGGGAGGAAGAACCGAACAGGAAGGAGACAGGCCGGCGCGCATCGCCAGCTGTCGACGCGCCAGCCCGCACCGCAGGTGCCCACGCGGGGGGACTCGGACCCAATGGGCACAGGTAGGACACACGGCCCCAGAGCACGTCAAAGACAAGTAAGGGGGAGGGGGGAGCAGGTACAGTCGGAGACCAGGTGGACCAGCAAGCGGTCGCTGCGCGTGGACCGCGCTCGTCTCAAGGGCTGCGGGGGAACAGGAGGACACACGGTCCCACGCCCGGTGAACAGGGGGGGGGAAGGGGGCACAGGTGGTGGGCGTGGCCAGCGGTGGGTAGGACCTTGACCTTGCCGCAAGTTGCGGGAGCGCAGCAGGCGGTCGCGTAGCGCGAGCAGGGGGGGGCACACGGTCCCAAGACAGGTGAAGAGGAGGGGGAAGGGGGAAGAGGTGGTGGGCCAGCAGTGGGTAGGACCAGGACCTTGCCGCGCGTTGCTGGGAGCGCGGGAGGGCGGTCGCGCGCTGCGTCAGCGAGCGGAGGCCCATACGCAGGCTGGTCAGCGCCTAGGGCGCTTCCCGGCCCAATTGTCGTTGTACCCGGAGCTGCGCGCCCGGTCCTCTCCGCGCCCTTCACCTTCGGCGACCTCTCTTTTCTTCTGGACGCCCTGGCACAGGGCCTTCTCCCGACCCCAGTCCACGCAGACGCCGGCGTTGCGAGACCACGCCTCCACGCGATGGTTGCTGCTGTCCATGTATTCCAGAAATTTGTCGATTATCCATCGTTGCCAGCGGTTCGGGTCGAAAGCCACCTGGTCTTTGGATTTGCCTTTGCCCTGCTCCTTACACATATGTCTACACCACGAGTGCCAGGCCGCGTTGAAGTGGCATCCTCCCTCGGCCTGCAGCCTCTCCAGGTGTGCGACTGCTGTCTCGCATGGGCGGCGCTGCCAGCCGACGCGGAAGATTGTCCGCGGGCGCCGCGGGCGGCTGGGGTCAGGGTAGCGGCGATCGTCCCTGCGGTGAAAGCTGCGTGGTTCTGGCTGGCGCCAGGGGGCGCCCCCTGTGCCGCTGCCACTGTCGCGGTCCTGATCCCAGTAGCGCTCCCTGGTTCTGCCCCAGTCGTAGGCGTCTTGCTTGCGCCACGGTGCCCCCGCTGCGCTCTTGTCGCGGTCGCGGTCGTGCTCTCCGGCACGGGTCCGGTCGCCAGATTCTCTGGGCGCGCGCCTCACCGCAGTCTCGCATGACTCCCAGGCAACTGGCCCCCGCGCCCTGCCGCGCAAGCGCTCTAGCTCATGCGCAGGGAGGGGGTTGAGCGCGGGGCGCCTGTCTTCCGGGCCTTTGGATCTGGGCCACGTGCGCAGCGCCCGGTTGTCGGCAGCGGCCGCCAGAAACGCGATCGGCCCCGCGGGTGCGCCGGCTGGCTGGGCCTGGTAAGTACTGCTTGAGTCGCGCTCGGGACTGCTGCGTCCTTCGCCACGAGAGCTCACCTTGGCTTGGCCCTCCTCGACTGTTTCGGAGTCTGAGGGTGAGGAGACCGAATGGACCGTGCTTAGGGCCTCGGCGATCCTCTGCTTCTTCTCTTGTTCCTGGTCGTCGCGGGTCCAGCTGGGGCCCTCCTCCTGAGGGAGCACAAGGGGTGCAGGTTCGTAGGTGGGATCTTGCGTGTCCGTACGCGGCGCGCAAGGTTCGGGCTTGGAGTCGGGCTGGGCCCCCTCTGGGGACGTCACTTTGTCGCCCCCGATGTCGGCGCCCAGCCAGGGACTGGCGGGGGCCGCTGGCACGCGTGATCCGCGCGCCTCGCCATAGGTTCTGCCCAGGAAGGCTGCTGCCCGAAGCGCTGCGTCGCCGCGGAGGACGTTCACGCGTAGCGTCCTGGTACCGGCGCCCCAGACTTCCAGCCACTCGCTGCCGATCTGGACGATCAGGGCCCGCCCGTCCTGTTCGCGGGCCAAGACGTCGAGGACGGGCCCGAATGCCGCTCCGTCCAGGGGCTGCGTCGACAGGGGCTCGGCGCTGTCAGCCGAGCTGAACAACCTGGCGCGGGGGGCGGCGTCGCTCCTGATGACCACGTAGTCGCCGCCCTGGATGCACGGGCCGTCCGTTGCGAGCGGGCAAAAGGAGCCCTGGATGGGCGTGTCCCGGACTCGTCCTCGCTGTCGCTCGCGGCTGCTGGGTTCCGCGCACTCAGGGGGGGGGTCAGGTGCCGCGCCGACTGCCGGTGGCGCCCCGACGGACTTGGTAGCTGTAGGTCTCGTGGCGGGAAAGGCCAGGGCCGGGTGGTCGGGACGCGCGCCCGCTCGGGGGGCGGCGCGCTGCTGGGGCTCGCCGCTGGACGTGTGCCCAGCGGATGGCTGGGCTGATGCCGTGGCGCTGGGGTCTGCGCGCCGGGCCCCTCGGCCGCGCGCCTCCTCGCCAGCTTCGCCCCCGATCTGCGCCGCCACCTTTGCGTGGACCCCCTGGCCGCCGGTTGCCGCCCTCAGGCTAGGCGCTGCTGCTTGTCCTTGGGAGGTGGCGGGAGTGAGTTGTGGAGGCGCTTCTGGTAGATGCGCGCCTCCTCGCCCCAGGCAGAAGCACGTCGCTGCACTTCCTTCTGGCTGGGGCGTGCTGCGACCTCTGACGACGAGGCGGGGATGCCCGGTAGTGCGGCGAGAGGTCTGGCTCCTGCGCTGGGGTATACGTCAGGGCCGTACCTGTCAAGTATCTGTTTCACTGCTGACAGGGGCCATGTCCCACTGGTGGATCAGGCATCCCTTGCAGCGCCAGCCTGCGCGCCAGCGCTTTGTCAGGAACATCCCGCTCACAGTCTGCGTGGGCAGGGGCCCGTGGATCAGGCTGAGGCCGGCACGGAGTCCTTCTGGGTCGGCGGCGTGCCCATGCATGCCAGGGAAAGCCTGCCCTGGCCCCCGTCTGCGCCCCTCTGTGCCCGGGGGGCAGCCGTCGCATCGCCAGATGCCGACATTCTTCCTGTAGAACAGAGAGATCAGGCGATCGTCGTTCGCGTCACTGGCTGGGGGGGCGG